GATGGAGCCAGACGGATACAAGCCCAGGCTCAGGCCAGAGCACTTGAGATAGAAGCCTCAACAGCAAGCAAGAAGCAGGCAGAAAAGCAGTATACATCCTTCATGGCCAGGATTCCTGGACCAGAGGTAATAAGCTGTTGACTGAAAAGCTGTCTGAATTGAGGACTGTATCTTGCTATTGACTGAGAAGCTGTCTAAACTAGTTGAAAGATTATGACTACTATCTACTGAATCTGTACTTTCACTGTGTGATATCCTTTGTGTCACTCCTCCCAATTACTAAACTCCACTACTGTGAGTAAAAAGAGGCTCTGTAAAGTCAGGTGAAATGAATATCAGACCCAGTGGTTAATGGAAGAAGTAGGTGAACCAGAGTGAGGTGACATGTCTGACACTATGTTGTTGTTGTTGTTATGTGCCATCGAGTCATTTGCGACTCATAATGACCCTATGTACAAGAGCCCTAAAAGCCATTCTATCCTGTGCCTACCCCACTGTCTCAAACACATTCATTCCCACCACTCCACTCACAGAATCGATCCATCTCATAGAGGGTCTTCCTCTCCTGCGCCGTCCCTCTACTCTCCCAAACATAATGTTCCTCTCCAAGGACCAGTCCTTCCTTGCAACATGCCCAAAGTATGTCAGACAAAGCTTCAGAATCCTTGACTCCAGGGAACACTCTGACTTCACCCTCTCCAGGACAAACCTGTTTGTTCTCCTAGCAGTCCATGGTATATTCAACACTCTTCCCCAGCACCACAACTCAAAGGCATCAATTATCTTTCTATCATCCCTATTCACTGTCCAACTCTCTGATGCATAGCACGTAATTGCAAAGACTATAGCCTGGATTGGGCGCACCTTAGTCTCCAGCCTGACATCGTTGCACTTCAGTACTCTTGAGAGGTCCCTCAGAGCTGATTTTCCCAATTCAATTCGTCTCCTGATTTCCTGGCTGCTGTTACCAAGAGTGTTGACTATGGAACCAAGTAAACGAAAACTGTTAACTATCTCAATCTCTTCACCATCCATACTGATGCTGCCAGTTGGCCCAGTGG